AGTAGACTGTAATGAAACAGAAATTTTAGGATGGCAAAAAGAAAACACCAAATTCCCTTGTTAATTATCGTCTTTATTTACTAGTGTGTATTAAATTTTTAAATAACAGTAGTGTTCTCTCTTATTTTACAATCAATCTTGCATCAATTAATGATGAGGTGGCATTCTGAGAAATGTGTCATTAGACAACTTCGTTTTCTTTGTAGTTGTGGGTGGATGAAATGCCTTTATTATATCTGTTTATTTTTATGTAGTGCTAAGGATCAAACCCAGTGCCTCACAAGCTAGGCAAGCTTTCTGCCACTGAGTTACAGCCCCAGCCCTCATTAGGTGACTTTATCCCTGAGCCAGTGTCTGGCACTCACAGGAGCCCGGCTGGCATGGCCTGCTGCACACCTGTGCACACTCACACCTGTGCACACTCACACACCTGTGTATGCATATGCAGCCCATTGAACAACCAAAGCCCTGATGAACAAACAGTGTCAGGTCCATCAAGCACAAGAGAAAACCTGCATCCAGGCTGCTGTGACCAAGAAATTCATGAGTGCAGCGCGGCAGGGTTTCACGGCATTTTTTATGGTGGGCACACAAACCAAAACGCTGATAAAAAGCATACGGTGATAAGGATGTGAGCCAGCAACGGTCGATGTTATCACCCCCGAGCACCGTGCACTGTGCAGAACCGTGAGTGCTGCAGGACCAGCAGCGGGCCCCACCGTGGCACACCAACACAGTAAGGTGACAGCTGCTGTGTCATTAGGCTGTGGGAGCTCTCCAGCTCCATGATAACCTGAGGGACCGCTGGGACTGCTGCTGTAGAGCGGCCAGGCGTCTGTACCAGTGAARGTGCTGGGGATCAAACCCAGGGCTATGTGCATGCTGGGCTGTACCCTCAGCCCCTACTTTTCTCTTCTTATTGCATGTGCTAGAACCTTCAAGGCAGTGTTAGATCACATGGTAATAGTAGGTTCCTCAGGTTGATAGTGTTGCCATGCAGGAGGATGTTAGCTTTGGTTTGCAGAGAAGCAGTTGACACCTGATTCAAGTTGCCCAAGCTGACTCTACCACCGCCCCGAAAGGACTCTCATTTGTCTACTCACTCAACACTTTCTTTTTTAAATTTTATTCATTTTAATTAGTTATAATGACAGTAGAATGCCCTTTGATACATCATATATAAGGGAGTATAATTTCTCATTCTTCTGGTTATACACGATGTAGAATCACACCAGTTGAAGAGTCATATATGCACACAGGGTAATAATGTCTGATTCATTCTACTATCCTTTCTCCCCCTAATCTAAAGTACCTCTATTCTTCCCTAGCCCCACCCCCACTCTGAATTAGCATCCACAGATCAGAGAAAACATCTGGCTTGTGGGTTTTTTTTGGAACACTTTTGACACAGAACATTAGTGTTTTCTAATTCCGCACGCACCAGCTGGGGATGCAACGATCCAGTTCTGGCACCACCTGCCTGGACTCAGTGTAGACACCACAAGCTAAGGGCTCTGTCCCACAAGAGGCCCCACTTCAAAGGCAGGGCACAAACCCAGACCTTCAGGACTCCTGGTGGACCATCTCTGAATTGGGGTCTCCATGGAAGACTCTCCTTGGATTCAGTCATTTGCTAGAATGGCTCATGGAACACAGGAAACACTTTATTCAAGTTCACTGATTTACTAGAAAGGGCACTCACTACCAAGGTAGAGTCAGAGAGAAGACCCTGGGCCTACTGGGGAGGGGTCCTCCGCAGGCCCAGCACCCAGCACCCTGAGGCCTCACCATTTTCACAGCTTCATTTCTAGTGGGAAGTTATCTGTCCTAAGAGCAGGTTAGGAATCACATGCAGAGCTCTTTGGGCCTGGTGAGGTTTTGTTGACTTTGCTTTGGTTTTAGTGCTAGGGATTGAACCCAGACCCTTGGGCACCCTAAGTACACACTCTACCACTGAGATACACCTCCAGCCCCCAGGAGATTTTTTTTTTTTTGAGAGCGAGAGAGAGAGAGAATTTTTTAATATTTATTTTTCAGTTTTCAGTGGACACGACATCTTTATTTTATTTTATGTGGTGCTGAGGATCAAACCCAGTGCACCCATGCCAGGTGAGCGCGTTACCGCTTGAGCCACATCCCCAGTCCCCCACTGGGAGATTTTTTAATAGCAAAATTTTAATCCCCCTTTCTGGCCCCCAATTTTGCTGAGTAAGCAATGATCGTAGTTAAACAATATTTCCCAGTTTACAGCATATGAAGTCTATGACATAGTTCTAGGCAAAGAAGTATAAAATTAACAGTTTCCTGCAAAGTCCCCCAGAGGGGGCCACCCTCAGCTAGACCTGCACCTTTGTCCTTCTCTGGTCCTCTTCTAGGCTGGAGGTAGAGCATACACCTCCCAACCTGAGGACTGAGAATGGAGACACAGAACCTTGCCCCTACAGACTTCACGGGGCCTCGCTATTGACTCCTGGACTTCTCTCACCTTAATGGGGGAAAYGCTCACAGGAATTTGACCCCTCGATTGGGAATTTTTCTTTTTTATTTACAGGGAGGTGGTTACTCATTGCCACGTGTGATTTCTAATTGATACATAGAGAACATTGTCTGTTAAATTGCTCACTTCCTAGGTTCATTATGTAATTTTTATTTTTGAAAAATCACCATTTCTTCTAGGTTTTTAAACTCATTGTCACAGAGTTGCTCTATGAAAAATCAAATTATTTCACTCTTTTCTATGTTGGAATCTTGTTTTCTTCTTAATTTTGTATGCTTTTACTTTCTCCCTTTTGTCACAGGAACGTGAGCAGCTGAAGCTCCAAACCTGAGTTCTTGTGTCAGATGAAAAAAACTTTAGTCAGACACCAGAAGTCATGCAAGAAAACTTTATTGTAAGTGGAAGGAAAGTGAGGCTCAAGCAGAAAACAGAGAGGCAGAGAGAGAGAGAGAGAGAGAGAGAGAGAGAGAGAGAGAGAGAGAGAGAGAGTTGTCTCTTAGCAGAAAACCACAAAGGAAACAGTACCATCTCCAAGCTCATCACTGTCTGATATTTGCCCTGAAAACGAAGGACCACATTATGCTCTCTCCTACAACTGGCTCAAGCCCTCCTTCATGTCCAGTAGTGAAGTTTTTGACCCTAGTTGGTCCTCCTCTACAAGTCAACCTGATGTCAACTGGGGCACTGGGATCAGTGGCCAGACAGAATTTACCTTAATCCAGACGCACAACTAAAGAAACCTCCTTCCAAAATATATGGAGGCACCCATGGCTTTACCCTGTCCTGGGTGGGCCCCATCAAGAGCTAGTCCCAGGCCCACCGTCGTGTCTATCGACTCACCTGTCTTCTTTTCACAAATATCTATTCTGTGTATTGATCCTTTCTACTATATATTGTGTTCATTCCTGTTTCACTCCTTTAGTTAACTCATCTTTTTTGTTTGTAAAATAAGTTCAAAATTTCTTTAAATTTTTCATTCATGATGAGGTTATCTGAAAGCTATAATTTTTCCTCTAAATACAGCTTTGGCTATGGGCTAGGGTTGTGGCTCAGTGGTAGAGCACTTCCCTAGCACATATGAAGCTCTGGGTTTGATCCTCAGCCATAAGGATCACCACATAAAAATAAATAAATAAAATAAAGGTAAATGCAGCTTTAGCTGTATCCAAGAGGAATAGGGTATGAAGAAAGTCGGGGTTATTTATATAGTTTGTTAATTTAACCCAGGGGTGCTTTAACACTGAGCTACATCCCCAGCCCTTCTTTAAAATTTTACAATAGAGTCTCACCTGATTGGCGAGGCTGGCCTGGAACTTGCCGGCCCCGGGCTCAGCCTCCTGAGTCGCTGGGATTACAGGCATATACTTTGTTACTTCTGACCTAGTATCTTTTTGATCCAGAGGTTTTAAAATGGGGACCTATTAATTTCAATTGCTTACACTTGTGTCCCCCCACCTTTTTTATATATTTTTTTACATTTGATTGTTTGCTGAGAGAGAATTGGATTGGATTGCGATCAAGTCATGTGTCCTATTGTACTTTCTTTCAATTTGTACGATTATTTTCAGGTCCAATACATGATTATTCCACAGACTTAAATAGGGGCAAAGTTCTCTACACATAAACTGAGCTTCCGATGTGAATTTTCTTTATTCACACACTTGCTTTTTTCTTAGTACATTTTTAGTTGTAGTTGACATCTTTATTTTATTTACTCATTCCTATGTGGTCCTGAGGATGGAACCCAGGGCCTCCACCGGCGAGAGGCGAGCGCTGTACCACTGAGCCACAACCCCGMGCTCCCACACCTGCTTTTGGTCTGCACATTTGCCTCATTCTGGAATGGCTACTAAAACTTGGAAAAGGGTGAGGCCAGCTTCTGGGCTGAGTCAAGGACCCCCACCCCCACCCGCCAGCGCCGCAGACCCCAGCAGAGGCCTGAGGAGTCCTGCCAGGGCCTGGTGGAGCAGGGGTGCTGGGGGCGGAGGGGGTAGGCAGTCTGGTTGCCAGGAAGCGAGGTGGGGACACAATGGGGCCTGGCAGTTGGGCGGGGGTGGGAGTTAGGGTGTCCAGCTCTCTCGCTTTGCCTTCCCAAGCCGGGAGCCAGCACAGCAGGTCAGTGCATCTCGAGGCCTTCGCTCCTAGAACTGGTTCCTCTCCCCAGGACCCCTCCCCAGAACCTTCCCAAAGCCCTAAAATCTTCCGCCCCCGCCCGCCCAGGAATTGGGAATTCCCTTCCCGAGGTCGGGGTCTGAGCCGGGCCTGCGCGCGCACCCCCCCTACAGAAACCCGTYTGCAGGTCGGCGGCCGGAGATGGCCCTGAAGGTGGCTCGCGGCCCCAGGACCCGCCACGGGGCCGGGCCACCACTGTTTGTTTTCCGGGCGCCCGGGATACGGGGTGGGCCCCGCCCCCAGGGCTGCTCCGCCGCGGGGCCGGGTCGCGGGTTCCCCGCGAATTCGAGGTGGAGGGGCCGCGGCCGCCACCATCTGTCCACAGGTGCTGCCGGCTGTAGGCGCCCCCGCTCGCGTCATGGGCTCGGACTGCTGGGTGGGCCCTTGGCGGCCACACCGGCCCCGTGGCCCCATCGCGGCGCTCTATAGAGGACCCGGGCCCAAATACAAGCTGCCGCCGAACACCGGTAGCAGGGGCCGGCGCCGGGGAGGGCGAGGGGCGTCCGGGCGGGTTTGCGTCTGGGCTGCGGTGGTGGTCCCACCCGGAGCACGGGGGCAGAGTCGGTGCAGGGGAGGTGGACCGTGCTGGGAGAGGGCGGGGGGCGGCCCGGTTGATGCTGGGACGTTCCGCAGGCTACATCCTGCACGACCCCTCGCGGCCCCGCGCCCCYGCCTACACCTTCGGTGCGCGCTTCCCCACGCAGCAGTCAACCTGCGGCCCCGGGCCCAGCCACCTGGTGCCCTCCCGCATGACCGTGCGCGGCCCGGACAGCGCCCCCGCCTACTCCATCTGTGGCCGCCTGCGGCACTCTGCGCCCTTCCGCACTCCCGGACCGGGTCAGGACCCCTGGGACCCTGCTCTCCCCAACGCCTCCGGGGAGGCGCACCTGGGAACCTCCCCACCTGAACCCCGAGACCCCCTCTAGACCCTAACATCGTATATTCCGGATCTCAAAGTCCAGAACCCCAAGCCCCACAAGGCTGTGACAAATTGTGGTTCCGATTCCCCAATTCCAAGACCCTAACCCGGCTCCATCAGACCCCTACCCAGTTCTGGCCCACACCTTGGTCTGTCCCCCAGGGAGGTATTTCCCAGAACGAGCCGGGAATGCGACGTACCCCAGTGCGCCTCGACATACCATTGCTTCCCGAAACTGGGGGGTCCACGCGGAGCCGCAGAGTCCAGGTGAGACCTGAAAGGCCCCGCCCCGGGACCGCCCGCACGCGAGCAGACCGCAGTGACTGACCCCTGGCGGCTCCTTCAGGTCCCGGCGCCTACACGGTGCCCTCGCTCTTGGGCCCGCGCGTCATCGGCAAAGTCTCGGCCCCAACTTATTCCATCTACGGCCGCACCAGAGTGGGCAGCTGCTTTGAAGACCTCAGCAAGGTGCGAGGAGGGCCGCGGGCCCAGCGCAGCGAGAGGTCCAGAGGGTCAGAGGTGCGCGGGGAACCCAGCACTCACTTTGCCTCCCACAGACGCCGGGCCCCTGCGCCTACCACGTGGTGAACCCCGGGGTCTACAAGACCCGGGCCCCCCAGTTCACGATGCTGGCACGGACTTCGTTCCCCCAAGACAGCACCCTGAAGCCCGGACCCGCAGCCTACAACGTGGACCAGGTGGTCTGGAGTTCAGGGTCAAGGGTCAGGGGCAAGGGATGAGGATCCCCAGTCGAGGGTATGGGTCAGGGTTCAGAGAGAACAAGGCTCCTCGCGCGAAGCCGTACGCCCCCGGCTCCGCGAGGTCAGCGACGTCTTCTGGCCCGCAGCACCGGAAGCCTCGCGGCTGGACCTTCGGGATCCGGCATTCGGACTACCTGGCCCCAATGGTGACCAACGTGGACGACTGACCCGCGGGCGGGGTGGGGGCACAGGCCCACCGCAGTGCGCTTAAAGCTTCCGGAGTCAGCCACGTGTCCGCCTCTCTCTTTGTGCACGGGCGGGGTCAGGGCGGGAGCGTCGAAGTCTGTTGGAGAGCTGGAGAGGGGTGTCCCCGCCGCACAGTGCCGGGAACTGGGCGGAGCCCGACAGAAACCGGGCGAGGCCCACTCCCGAGCCTCGAGGTCCCGGAAGCCCGGCATTTGTCAGGCAATTCGCGGACTGGCCGCAGGCTGCGAGCAAGGCTACTGGCCAGATCCTACCAGCTGTGCCTGCGGTCCTTGGGCCGCTCTGGGTGATTGCCGACCTGCCCCTGCTGGTGGCCAGTGGCCAGGTGTGCACGGCACCTGCAGTCTCGACCCCGTGGCCCAGGGTGACGTGGGGTGGAACCCGACCAGACTCCGGAACAGGACGGGCGAGGGCCGCAGTACGGAATAGGTATGGGCCAGGGTCACGTTGTGGGAGCGAAAAGTGGAAGCCAGACGCAGTCGTGGAACCCAAGGGTGGACACCAGAGACACATACAGGAGCCGAGTCGGGTCAAGGGCAGGGGGTCGCAGGGACGTGGATGGAGGGGAGGGGAGGGAGGGCGTTGGCCTGGGCGATATATGGTTCTGGCCTCCCCGCAGGCCCAGAGCAATGGCAGCCCCAGGAACTGCAGCCCCACCAACCCCAGTCGCACCAGGTGATGGTTTGCTGGGAGGACGGGGGGGACCTCCTGACTCCATGCCCGGGGCCAAGCAGCTCCCAGTGCTGATCCGCAGGAAGCGAGATGGAGGCCGCTTAAGTGAGGAGGACATCAAGGGCTTCATCAGTGCTGTGGTGGAGGGGAGTGCACAGGGGACACAGATTGGTATGTGGGGAGAGCCAAATACCCCAATTCCCACTTAAACTCTGGCCCCCACAACCCCATAGACCGCCTGTCCCCAGGGATGCCACAGCATCCCATCACTGACCTCAAAATACGATTCTGTGGGGACATCCCCTCTTGTGTTCACATCCAGGGGCCATGCTGATGGCCATCCGGCTGCAAGGCATGGATCTGGAGGAGACCTCTGCGTTGACCCAGGCAATGGCCAGGTCTGGGGAACAGCTGCAGTGGCCAGAGGCCTGGCACCAGCAGCTTGTAGACAAACATTCCACAGGGGGAGTGGGAGACAAGGTCAGCCTGATCCTGGCACCTGCCCTGGCCGCGTGTGGCTGCAAGGTTAGAGACTACTTCCTCTCCAAAACCTTGACTCAGTCAGCAATGGGGCCACCCTCACTTCCCAACCTCAACTCTGGTCTGAAGACAGAACCCAGGCTTGYCCCTGCCAGCCCTCAGTATGGAACTGGGTTCCGCCTTAAGCCACAGCAACAGAAAACAGCCCCTGCTTCCCTGTAGGGAGAGGGTCCTGAAAGAGCGAGCTAGGTACTACTTTCTCTCTGTGCTCAGACTTATCTCCAGGAATGGTTACCACCTTCTCCCTCACTGACATCTGTACTCCCCCTCCTGGCCAGGACAGTTATTTTCCATTTTCAGCTGGGTTAATTCCAGCTAAAGTCTATCTAGGGAAGGTGAGGAAACACTTTTGAGTGAGTGGTGAGGGGGACCGTGCAGGTGAACTCAGCCAACATCCTTGCCTGCCAGGTGCCAATGATCAGTGGACGTGGCCTGGGGCACACAGGGGGCACCCTGGACAAGCTGGAGTCTATTCCTGGGTTCAATGTCATCCAGAGCCCACAACAGGTACAGGCAGGCCACTGACTTTTTATCTGGATTGATGGAGATCTTAGCCATAATCATGGAAGGGTTATTTATCAGAGTCATTAATGGGAATACTGAGTATTCAAAGGTCACTGATAGTCATTGGGCATGGGTCAGGGTGGAGGGAACTTTGACCAGGATCATCACTGCGGACTTGGTCAAAACCACTGTTGGGGCCGGGCATGGTGGCGCATGAGGCTGGGGAGAGAGAGGAGGATGGCTAGTTCAAAGCCAGCCTCRGTAAGAGTGAGGCACTAGCAACTCACTGAGACCCTTTCGCTAAATAAAATACAAAAGGCTGGGGATGTGGCTCAGTGGTCCAGTGCCTTGGTTTCAAAAAAAAAAAAAAAATCACTGATGGACTACTAATTTACAGCTATACACTGATCATCTTTGTCAGGTCACAGAGCAGAGCCACTGCTGAGAATCTAGAGTCATCCATAGGTCACTGTCACTGAACAGGGCCAATAGGATCCTTCATCAGAGGCCACTGGGGGGGGGGGGTGTCTTGACTAGATGCAAGTGCTGTTGGAGCAAGTGGGCTGCTGTATTGTGGGTCAAAGCAAGGAGCTGGTTCCTGCAGATGGAATCCTGTATGCTGTACGAGATGTGACAGCCACTGTGGATAGCCTGCCACTCATCACAGGTGACCTGACTCAACTCCAGGGACAGCTCTCTGCCTATCGGGGTTATGACCCCTATCTCTGACCTCACAGTCAAGGTCCTCTTATGAGGAGGACCCTAGTGAGAATACCTGACCACAGATTCATGAGGGTGACCTGATGCTTAAGGCACTAGGCATTGCCACCCCATCCTAGGGGCCAGCCTCTCCTCACCCCAGAGTCAGTGTCACCTGGAGTGATATCTCTGCCTCCCCCAACAGCCTCCATCCTCAGTAAAAAGGTGGTGGAAGGGCTCTCTGCCCTGGTGATAGACGTTAAGTTTGGTGGCGCTGCAGTCTTCCCAGACCAGGAGAAAGCTCGGGAATTGGCAAGAGCACTGGTGAGCCCCTGCACACGCTGGGCCAGTGTAAACCCAAAGAAGCCCCTGCCCCCGTGGGCCCCAACTCCTTACACCCTCACTCGCCTCCGCCCACTCAGCAGTCCACCCCTCCCTCCTTTACCCGCCACCAGCCTTTACTGACGGAGGCTTAGTCTTACGCCTTTAGAAAATCTCCAGGTTGCCCCTCCACCCCACGCCAGACTCAAGATGCTTCTGACACCCACAGCTGCGGATTGGCATAGTACTTCTGGTCCCCACCCCAAGCCCTCTCCGACCTCATTCTGAGGGTCTGGCCACCCAGGGTACTTCCGGAGCTGGAATTTGATGATGCAAGATTGGGGTGGAGGCCCCACGGGGTGCCAAGTAGAGTCCATACTGAGCCAAGGCTCTGCAGGTTGGCGTGGGGGCGGATCTGGGGCTTCGGGTGGCAGCAGCCCTGACGGCCATGGATAACCCTCTGGGTCGCAACGTGGGCCATACCCTGGAAGTGGAGGAAGCGCTGCTCTGCCTGGATGGCACGGGGCCACCGGACCTGCGGGACCTGGTCACTAGACTCGGTAAGGGAAGCGGTTGAGGTTGGGGACTGCAGAGCCGCCCTACCGGACGCCCAGGCCCTACGGCACCTAAAACTCGCCCTACCGACTGGCAGGGGGTGTCCTGTTGTGGCTCAGTGGACATGCGGGTAGCTCGGCCCAGGGCACCGCCCGGATCGCTACGGCACTGGACGACGGCTCCGCGCGGCGCCGCTTCGAGCAGATGCTTGTAGCACAGGGCGTGGACTCGAACCTGGCCCGATCACTGTGCTCCGGGACCCCGGCGCAGCGTCGTCAGTTGCTGCCCCACGCCAGGGAGCAAGAGGAGTTACACGCGCCTGCGGACGGTGAGCGCCAGGGACCCGGGCCCCCAACTCGCTCCCAACCCGGGTCCCTCCTGAGGCTGCCAGACGCTTTCACTCTCTTCCCGCAGGCACCGTGGAGAGCGTCCAAGCGCTGCCACTAGCGCTCGTGCTGCACGAGCTCGGGGCCGGACGCAGCCGTGCAGGGGAGMCAATCCGCCTGGGCGTGGGCGCCGAGCTGTTGGTGGACGTGGGTCAAAGCCTGAGCCGAGGTGAGTACCACCCGGGACTCCAGGCCACGTCGTCTTCCCCGCCCCTTCCGGGTGCGTCCTCCCGCCCCGGAAGTCCTGACCGTCCTCGCCTGGCAGGGACGCCCTGGCTCCGCGTGCATCTGGACGGCCCTGCGCTGAGCGATTCGCAGCGCCGAGCACTGCAGGCAGCGCTTGTGCTGTCTGATCGCGCGCCCTTCACGGCCCCCTCGCCCTTTGCGGAGCTGATCCTGCCACCCACCGCCGCGCAGCCTTGAAGCCCGACAGCCTCCGAGCCAAGTACGTGCAGGGGCGGGCCGGGCCGGGCCGCACGTGACCTCGAAGCATGCGCCGTGGTGGCGAGCCGCGACCGCGCTGCTTCCGGGGTTGATGCCCGGGGCGCGGTGCGGGCCTCGGAGTAGTGGGGGTCCCGGCTGTACCGGCGCTGTTTTTCCAAGGCTTTCCGGCCGCCTTCCCGAGGGGCCGAACCTGGGGACACTAGGACCGAGGCGGCCCCAGGCACCGTCTCATGTCCTTGGGGATTTTCTGGAGGGCAAGCTCCGTGCTCTATCCCTGCAGCCACCCGTTTGGGTGTGGGGGCCCAGCCTTCGCCAGGCAAGGACTGTAGGGGTAGCAGGGAGGTGCGTGTGGGACCTCCAGGAGAGCGCATACGTCGTCTGCCAGCTGAGGTTAAGTCCGGCAGTGCAGGTTTTCTGCTGAGCCTGGGAGGAGACCGGAGAGCCACCGTTGAAGTAGCCCTTGAGGTGACCGGCTGGAGAGGGCTACTTCCGTCAAGAAGTAGATTTATTGCAGATATATTTGCTTGCAGTGCCCCTGTTAAGCAGGACAAGAGGCTCACAGAAGTGAATGCTGGGCTGGGCTTTGCAGGTGCAGGTACAGGGCAGGATGAGGTAACGAGATCGAGGCTACTAGGCTGAAGGGACAGGAGGGACTGTTGTGAAACTGGCCATATGTGGACTTTGGTGCCACTTAAGCTGGAGCTTGAGGTTTCAAAGGTGGACAAGTTTGGAGCTCCAGCGAGCAGGTGCAGGAGGCTGGCAAGCCAGAGTAGGAGGCAGGTCTCCAGGGATGGGGCCCCAGGCACCTTTTGGTGCCCTCTTTCTGGGGCCTAACATCTTTGCTTTCTTTCAGGAGGATCAGGTCCATGCTGTTGCTGGCTCGGGGGCCGAAGGCCAAGGCTTGGCTTTGGCTTTGTCAGCTTAGGCCACCAGTACCCCCTATGACCCCTGGAAATGAAGCTCTGCACATGAGGCCCCAGCGGCACTTCTCGTGGCAGGGCCCACCTCAAGGCCCTAGGCTTCRAACCAGGCTGCTCATCACTGCCCTATTTGGGGCTGGGCTGGGTGGGGCCTGGCTGGCTGCCAGGGCTGAGAAGGAACAGCGGAGGCAGCAACAGCGGACAGAAGCCCTGCGCCAGGCTGCTGTGGGTCAGGGCGACTTCAGCCTATTGGACCACCAAGGCCTGACTCGCTGCAAGGCCGACTTCCGGGGCCAGTGGGTGCTGATGTACTTTGGCTTCACACACTGCCCAGACATCTGCCCAGATGAGCTGGAGAAGCTGGTACAGGTGGTACAACAGCTGGAAGCCAAGCCTGGACTGCCCCCTGTGCAGCCCATCTTCATTACTGTGGACCCTGAGCGGGATGATGTGGCAGCTATGGCCCGATATGTGCAAGACTTCCACCCAAGACTGCTGGGTCTAACGGGCTCTGTTGAGCAGGTGGCCCAGGCTAGCCGCAGCTACCGTGTGTACTACAGTGCTGGCCCCAAGGATGAGGACCAGGACTACATTGTTGACCACTCCATTGCTATCTACTTGCTAAACCCTGATGGCCTCTTCACAGACTACTATGGTAGGGGCAGGTCCGCTGAGCAGATTGCAGACAGTGTGCAGCGGCACATGGCTGCCTTTCGCAGTGTCCTCTGAACCACTGCAGCCTAGGCCCATCATTAAACCACACTTCTAAGTTGTGTGTGTGTGATCTGTGCCAGCAATCCACAGGAAGCCAGGCAGCTCCACAGACTAGATAATTTCAGTGGGTTTTGTTTTAAGGGTAGGTGAGATGGCAACACAACTTTTATTAGGCTGGGCCAGCCAGGAGGCAGAAGCAAGCTCTCAGCACACAGGGAGAACTGGCCCACCCTCCCATCACAGCTTCTGCTTAGGGCTGGGCCATGGAGGGAGCTGTGTAGGTCTGGAAGCGCTTGTGGGCTCGCTGGTGAGTGAGCAGTCTCAGAGACATGGTGTCCACAGCTGCTTCCAGCCCTGGCTGTTGGCTGATCTCCACCGTGTAGTCATTGGCCTGCAGGGGCAAGCCATCAGCAAGGTTTGGGGACCATCTTCCCCACCCATGAGACCCGAGGCACTCACCAGCTGCAGGGAGGCCAGCATGGAGCGACACACCTCAAAGGCAGGTTGGCCTGCCACCAGCTCTGCAAAGGGACACCACTCGTTGAGCTGGGGGAATCGTGAGATCACCTGGTCCCCGTACGTGTGGATATCAAAGGGCACATGCTGCTCCTGCATGGGGGAGGGGCGTGTTGGTGACAGAGAAGGACAAAGCGTGGGCAGAGCTCAGGCAGGAAGCTCCAGTCCTCAAGAACTGCCTCACCTGCTCCAGGAGCAGGGGTTGGATGGTGTCTTCCCAGTCCCTGATGCGCTGGCTCAGCTCTGTCTCCTGGACAAACTTCTGGGAGTTGGCGATGAAGAGCTCCTRGGGGGGACCGTAGGGACTTCCATCTTGTGTGCAGGGACCTGAGGCTTCCTCACCCGACTCCCTGCCTCTGACCCAAGCCTACCACATTCCTTCGAACCAGCTCCTCGTAGCTCAGGGACTCTGGCATGGCCTCTGCCTCTGAGAAGGGCCGTCGGTGAGTTGCTGCAGCTGTGGTGCTGCCGTGCCCTCCCCTCCAACAGCTCCCGTTCCCTCAGACGTACCCAAGTCAGCAGCCTCCCCAGGCTTTGCCTCCTCGGGCTCCACATACTCTTCAGGTTCCAGAAAATCGTCTGCTGGGACACAGGAGAGACCACCACAGGCAGGAAGTCAGCTGGTTCTACTGATGAGCCCCACCCCAGAGCCAGCAAGCACCCACCTGTTGCCCCCAGGTCTTCCAAGGACTCCTCCAGGCGGTCATCCTCTGCAGGCCACAGGCCCTCTTCAGCCCTAGGCAGCCACCGCTCAGTTATCTGTTCAGAGAGAGCATCTGTGAGGGTACTGTCCTCTTCCATCAGGGACCCCCTCAGCCACACAGGTACTCGCCTCCCGCCTCTGCAATGTCCGGAGGGTCTCCAGCTGCTCCTTCACATGCTTCCAGTACAGAACCTCCATGTCTACAGACAAAAGCTTTGTGAGGGGCTCCCCTGTCCTGTCCAGGCTCATTCCAGACCACCCCCGGCCTTGGGTGACCCTGGTCAGGTAGAAGGCAAAGTAAGGTTGCACATGGGGCCTTGCCTCACCTGCAAAAGTTGGGCCTTTTCTCCGGGGCCTCCTGCTGTCAGCGTGGTCAGCATCTGTGAGGAAACTTGGTCAGCAAGAACCAGGCCAAGGCCTGGACCTCCCCATCAGCTAGGGATTGCCAACAGCATTAGGAAAAGATTGCTGGTCCTCCTTTCTCCAGCAGCCCTGACCTGGCCCCAGCACCCAGGGGCAAGGTGTCCCACCCAGCCCACCATGTACTCACAGGTGGCCAGGTACCACTGGTGGAAGTCCTGTAGCTTAGCAGTGGCTTTCCTCTTGCGCTTCTGTCCTGGAGCCTCTTCCACACAAGGGGGCACAGAGTACGGCCTGCCTGGGGTCAGGCTGGGGCTGTCTCAAGAGCAGCCATGGGACTGGGGTCCAAAGCCCACCCCCACCCTACTACCCCAGACCCCAGCACACTGGGGAAAAAGAGCCTGAGTGGAGGTGTCCCCCACCCAGTTACCTTTCTTAAAGGGCTTGGAGTCCAAGGAGTCAAAGGGGTCTAGGCTCTGCCAAGGGTCTGGGGTCTCCTGAGCACAGAGCACAAGCAGATGCTGGGGGCGGTTAGGGCTGCACACCCTTCTTCCCAAGCCCAACACCAAGTGCATGACAGCCCAGGGAGAGGCTGCCCGCTCAACCCAGGGTCAGTATGACACCTGAGGCAGGGGAAAGGGGCCCAGCCTGYGGGAGGGGGGACGTCAATTTCTGGAAGCAAGCCAATTCCTCAAGAGTAAAGCCAGGAAGGGAATTGAAGGGCCACAGGAGCAGAGGCGTGACAGGGAGTCCTGCAGCTCACTCCCTGCCCCTCACCTTTAGCCGGGACATGGGGTCCGGGGCTCGCTCCCGCTCCCGCAACATGTACCTCCTGGTCAGGACGGCACTCTGCAAAGAAGGAGCCCACAGGTACCCTGACCTGCACCTGTCCATACAAGATGCTGGATGCCCCAGCAGCTCTGCCCTGGGGTCCATGACAAGAACTCTGCAGGGACCCTCTTCGGGTCCCATCGTTCAAGGACTAAAAACAACCCTAAGAAAAACTCTAGAACATCCCAACTAGCCATCACAGAAGAACTTTTCTTTTTTCAAAATATAAAACTAAATATGGAATATGACAAACATCCATGTTAACATTCCCTCCCATCTATGTCGGGTTGGTTTAAGCTTTTTTTTTTTTTTTTTAGTTGTAGATTGTCAAAAGCTTTATTTTATTCAGTTATTTTTATGTGGTGCTGAAGATTGAACCCAGTGCCTCATCCGTGAGAGGAAGGCGCTCTGCCACTGAGCCACAATCCCAGCCCCTGGTTTGAGCTTTTTGTTGCTGGACTGATTTGTGATGCTGGGGACTAAACCCAGGGCCCCAGGGATGCTAAGCAAGTGCTTTCCTGGAGCCACACAGCACACTGTTTTTTCGGGGTTTTTTTGTTGTTGTTTTAATTTAGAGATAAAAAGAAAAGAAATCCTTCTTTCGAAGGGGACAGATTCACCCCACAGGAATGGAGGGAGGCAGCAGAGGCCTCTGGAACCATTCCCTCTGGCCAGCCTGACCTCAGGTACTGTGAGCTCCATGGGGTTCAGACCACTGACTAGCAGCCCACCCCTGAGGAGCAGCAGCTGCTCCACTCAAGGAGWAGGACACAGAAGCTGCCATGAAAAGGCTAGCTGCGGGGTGAGTCTAAGACAGGAAAGCTCCTAGGCAGAGTCCCCAACTGGCCAGATGTATGCAAAGCAGACAGCAGGGAAAGACCAAAAGACCAATATGGGAACCACCATATTGTGCTGTGCTCCCTGTGTGAGGGACTGCCCCAGGGGCCCTACCTGGTGGGGGCTCCTGGGCTCCTCAGGCTCCACCGTGGCCTTGGGGGCTCTGGCCTCTGGGAGTTCTACTGCGTCAACCACTACCGCCGCTGCCTCCGCCACCTCCTCCTCCTCCTCCTCCTCCCCTCCACTGCTGGGCGCTAGGCCTTCTGGAGCGGTGCCTGGGCAGGCAGCAAGAAATCTGTCAGCCCCAGGGGATCCTGGAGCCCAGAGAGCAGACAGGGCTGCCCTTGGTGGAAGCCCAGGTAAACCTAACAGGACACTCCCTCTGCTCAGCGTCACTCCCTGCACATGGAGGATCGGGCAGGCCTTACACTCTGTCACACTAGTGTCTTTGTTTGGCTCGTTTCTTTTTTTTCTTTTTTGTGGTTCTGGAGATTAAACCCAGGGTCAGGGTGGTTTTGAACTTACAACCCTCCTGCCTCACTCTCCTGAGTAGCTGGGATTATAGGCATGGCCACCACACCCATCAGTTCATCTTCTTGGCAAACCTTCCTCTTTATGTGCTGCCACCTATGTCTGTCCAGTGAAGGCCAGGAAGGCAGTCCAAGGGCAGTTGCTGAGGCTCCATGAGGCCGGGGGCTCTCGAGCTCTCCAAGGCTGTGCCTGCTCCCCCTACACCTCACCCCTCACAAGCTGCTGAGCCAGGGACAGGCACGGCAAGCTGGGGAAGCTGAGAGCAGCCCATTTGGGGTCCTGTCCACATCCCTGCCTCCTTGGTCCCTTCCTCAGCCCTGCCAGTCCACCAAGGAGATCTACTCTCACCTGGCTGCTGGGAGAAGTCAAGCACAGTGACAGGATTCCGGCACCCCGAGACGTCCATTGGCTGCTCCTCGGCCCTCCTGGCATCTGGGAGGCAGGAGTTAGACAGAGGTCAGCACCCCCTATGTTCCACCTCATAAGGTCCCTACCTGATGCCCAATGAGCCCCTCTACAGGGGCAGCAGCAGGCAGAGCCCAGCACGCCCCAGGCCTCAGGCTGGGGAGAGGAGTGGGTGTCATATCCCAGGACTGAAACTAGCTGGTCCCTCACTGGCTGGCCACTGAGGCACAGTGAAGGTGGGAGAAATGGATGAGCTTCAGCCAAGCCACCCAGTGGAGCAGGAGCCTGGGAGGAGGCAGCTCCCAAGAACAGAACTGGTGGGAACAGGGGAACCAACAGGAGTCCCTGAAAGACCCTCTACTCCTTCCCTCCTACCAAGCACCCAACACCCAAGCCCTTACCCTTCTGGTTTCTTGGTATGGGGCACGTGCCCACAGGCTCTATGGGGCACATGCCCATTGGCTCTAGCATGAAGGCCCCTCTGGGGTGAGGGGTGCACGTGTTCATCCTGAAATCCTTCCGGCTGGCCAGGACCTCACCCTGGTGGCTGTGTTGGCAAAAACACACCCACTAAAGAGGCCCTTCTTGGGTAGGCCTCTCCCCCTCCCCAAGCTGGGCTCAGGCCCATACCTGTACAGAGGGCTGCTGTTCTTCTCCACTTCATCAGGGGCCACCAGGGCCATGGGCAAGAGAGGCACAATAAGTAGCTCCTGCATGAAGGCCAGCATCAAGTGTGGGCCCTGAATGCCTTGAGCTCTTAGGCAAGGACCCACACAGAGCATTCCAGATAACCCCCCACCCAGAGAGCAAGGCACTCACACTGGGCACCTGGTCGTTCTTCAGATCTACATTAGCACGGGAGTCAGGGAAGTCGTCCAGCGATAGGAACTGTGGAGACAGCAAGAGTGCATAGAGTGCAGCTCAGACGCCACAGGGCAGGGGTCACCAATCCCACTCACCTCATCCTCTGCCTCCTGGGGGGCCTCCAAGCTGGTGTTCCCATTGGCCCCATCTTCCTGCGCTGAGGACAGCTGCTTGGCTCGCCTGGGAGAGAAGAGCACCTCATGGGTGTCCTGGGGGCTGCAGGGCCTTGAGCTGCACCCGCAGTGTGGAAGTGCTGGCCACTGCCTCCCGGCTCCACCTCTACCACTCACCTCTTGCCAGAGATGAAATCGAGAGCCTGGTAGACCAGCGAGTAGAGGTACTCCACCTGGCAGCCAGAGGCCAGCAGTAAGGACAAGTTAAGGAGGCACCACCCACAACAGCCCACGGCCCTCCCACTCCAAGGCCTGGCCATCATCTCCAAGCCTCCAGCATGAGTCCTGCCAATTTTGCCACCAAAAATAATTCTCAAGTCAAACTAGTAGTCTTACCAGCATTACCCCAACAGCCAAGGCTGCGTGCTTCTCTCCTGTCTCTGTTTTCCATCAAGCAGCAAGCATGGCCTCAATGAGTGGCACAACCACATCCCGAGGGGTGCCCCACACAGCCCTGGTTGGCAGGCCCCACAAATCAGGCCCCTCGCACAGGCATCTGCTACTCTTTTGCCCACAGGCTCCTGCCAGCTCCTCCATCCTAGAAGCCTGTGGGCCTCTGACAGCCCATCAGAAATCAAGCCACAGTGGGCTACCTGACAGATCATTCCCCTAGCTTCTTGTCTGTCTCCTCCATAGAACGCTCTTACCACTAGGGTGAGGGCTGGAGTTTTTCGAAATGCTGATGATGAAGCACTTTCAGGTGAGAGGCAGGGGAAGCAGAGTGCATGCGTACCCTCGCCACCTCTGTGCTGCTGCAAGTGTGCACAAGGGAAGACAGAACCCACAGCGCACACAACCCTCTCTTTCTGGTAGTGACAGTTTGTTTATTTTTTGCTAGAGACTGAACCCAGGGCTTCATGCATGTTTAGCAAGCACTCTACCCTGAGCTACACCCTCAGGTCCAATGTACCATTTTAAACCCAAGATCATCCTTTGGTATTAAAATATGTGAATGAGTCAGGGGTGAGGCCTATGGTGCTATCAGGGCAGGTTACAGACAGGATGAGCACTGTTCCCTGTCCCAGCAAGAAAACTGACCACAGGACACTTGCCACCAAAGAACCCCGCAGGGCCCACCTTCTTACTGTAGACACAGGCTGAGCCCTGGATCAGCAGTGCAGCCTCGATGAAGTTCATTGTGGTTTTGCCTTCGTCAAAAGAAATACAGATCTGGTCCAGCTGCAAGAAACAACACCAGTGCCAAGGAAGCCAGGGCCCAGTCTGTGCCCATTCTGCCCAGGGAAGCCCTACCCACCACCGGCCATAGCCCAACAGCTCCAGCTCTGCTCTGATCCCGTCAGCTGTCTCTGGGTGTTCCCAGAGAGGAGAGACATGTCTTGTGATTCCCTATTTCCTGCATCCTCTAAGACCTGATGTTTTAGGAGAGGGAGGCCCCCAAAGACCGCCCTGACCACAGCAGTTCCCTCAGACAACATGCCCACGAGCATCAGGGCCAACTCAGATGGACCTCAGCAGGAAGACTCCTTACCCTGAGGGAAGGAAAAGAACCTCAGGGTGAACGCAACAGAAACAAATGTTAGGGTCTCCATCCTCTGAGCAGAGACCTTGACAAATAGGTCCAGTGAGGCATTCTCTTTCTTTTGCAACTCCCTGAGTCCCCTGAGCCTCGGCTCCTGCATCCCTCTAAACACCACAGTCCAAGGGGCTCCATCCTCAGCCCTCTCCTCCCATGGCATACCTGCCAATGCACCCGTTTGTCCACCCCATGCTACCATACGGCTACTCATGCTGACACATGGCTACCATCCATATGTCAACAGTTCCCCGCCCATCTCTAGACCAGCTTTCTCCAAGAACTTGGCCTCATTAGAGATTGGACCAGGGCCTCACACATGCCAGACTCTACCACTGAGCTGCACCTCAGTGCCCCCCACATTTCATCTCCACATTTAACTCAGGATCTTCCCCAAGAAGCAGGCCCCTCTACCACGCTGCTCCCACCAACACTCAAAGCCCCTTCCTATTCCTGCCCTCTGGTTTTGCTTTTCCTTCTGCCAGGAATGCCTGGCTCTAAATGTCCCTGTGTAAACTCCCCTGCAGGGGCCTGCTTGCCACCCATCATCAGTGATTTGTTGGTGTGTGGTACTGGGGATTGAACCCAGATGCACTCTACCACTGAGCCCATTTTATTTTTTATTTTGAGACAGTCACTAAGTTGCCCAGGCTGGCCTTGAACTTGCAATCCTCCTGTCTCAGCTCCTGACCGCAACCCGGCTGGGCACAGAATCACAAGCCATTCAAGCAGGAACAAAGTTTTATTTTTAAAAAGGCCGCCAGTGCCCCGTGTGTGTGCGCCCTGCTAGCAAGCTGGTCCACACACGTGTGTCGTCTACCGGACCTCCCCCCCACCTCCCCCAGAAATTCCCTCCTACTATCCTTCCCCAACCAATGGGAACTCTCCGGGAGTTCCGTAACATGAGTCCATGAGTCCCATAGCAGGCCGAGGTGAACAGCAGGAGTCCAATTTCCATATGAATGTAAATCTTAACATAATCATATCATCTCAATGGCTAGCTGGCAGTCACCTAAACCAAAGGTGCCATGAATCATAATACTTTTGCTATGGCTCCTAGCAGTAGGAGTCACCATGGCTGGACCTGTCAGTGTTATCTTTTTGCACTACTTTCAAGTCTCTTCTTCCTTAGTGAACTGTGGACAGCATCAGGTAATTTCAGCCTTCCATTTAGTGCCCAATGCTGGTGCCAAGTAAATATCTGATGAACTAAAGAAGTGGTAATATGAGAGCTAAGCCTGAAAAAACGGATAGAAACTCACCAGGCAGGTGAAAGCATAGGACTTCAGAAAGAGCAATCCCCTGCCCATGAAAAGGCAGTCAGCAGAGACAGGATACAACTGTTCAGAAAAATGCACATCACACAAACATGGCCAAAGTGTAGGCTGCGCTGGCAAGAGAGCTAAGATGCTGGGCACTGTGCTGAACAAGGAAGGGGAATGATCTGCAAGGGCGTCACCAAGGGGAGCTAATTCCTGAAGGATAAAAGAAATTTGGGGGGTGGGGTGCAAGAGCACCAGTCTACAGAAGTGTGASAGCTGCAGAGTGCCCTGCCCTGAAGAAAGGATGTACAGAGCACCAAGCTAGGGCCCTTCCCTTTGAAGACCCCCCCAGCCCAGCCAGCTCACTTGCTACAGGAATATCACATTCCAACAATCTTCTCATGACTCCAGGTTGGATTTCTCACCTAAACCCTTACATCCAATTGCTTTCTTCAATCATTCAGATGTTTTAACCAGATTCACAATAAACATGCCCACACTGAATTCTAGGCAGCACCCAACTCACCACCCAGAAACTCAGGGTCTCAGCAGCTTTCTTCCCCTGCCCACGTCCCTGACAAATCCAGGCTGCCCTCCAATCAGCTGTTGCCCAGGCCCAGGTTCAACCTCTGCACTGACAGGACTCCGCCCACCTCTCACATCCCTGAATTTACTCTCATCACTCCACCACACAACCCTAATGGCTTTGTGCTACTCTTACGAAAAAGCCCCCAATCCTAACCAGAGCCCCTAAGGCAGGCTCCCATGCTTGCCATTTCCCTCTCTAGGCCCTGGTCCTTCCCTGCTGGCCCACAACAGCACATGGGCCCACTTTCAGGACCTCCACTGAGCCAACCATCTTCCCACCTCAACTTTCAAACACTGTGTCCCTCTGCATGGAACATTCTTCAGCTCACCATGAGGAAGCAACTCCTTTAACCCAAACACAATTAGGTCTCCATCACACCCTTCCCATAACCCTAAACCYTTCTTTCAAACCTGGCATCACTTTGTAGACTACCCAGGTTGCAGTGGGAAGTGAATGTGCTCTGTCCACTATCACCTGTGACTTTGGGCACACAACTTCTCTCTCTAGTGCCTGCATGAGTAGTTTTTGTAAGGATTATGTGAATTTATCTGTGTGAAACAACAACAGTACTTGACCCAAGTATGCACCAAGTGTCTGATATTAATGACTCTGTGTTGCTACTGCCTTAGGTCCCAGCCATCTGTCAAAGTACAAGGCCTACCAAAGCACAGATTGTTTGCTTTGCTCACCATTATTTTTGCAGAGTTTTGGTTCTTGTCACACAATGGACATTCAGCAACAATAAATACATAAGTAGATAAGAGAATATAACATCATAACGTGTTAGGAAAAAAAATCTGATAATTGTATGGAAAACAAAAGCAGCACTCCGAGGAAACCAGAGGTCAGGAAATCAGGCCCTCCAGGACAGAGAGGGTCTGGCAGAGCAGTCATGAAGCAGGAGGGAAGGTGAACAAGCCAGGAAATATTCTTATCAAGTATCCCCACGGACCCTGCTTGATGTGGAAACCTAAATCCACCAGGCACAGTTCTCTGAATTTTCTTAGCAGACTGTATTGAAGCAGAGATGGTCAATCATCAGATCACAGGTTCACTTAATAAACATTTATTCCACACCTACTATATGCCAAGCACTCTACTAAGCAGAAGAGAGTATATACATAATCCCTGCCCTTGCAGAATTTAACACTAGGTTGAGAGAGGCCAAAACAAGTAGATAAGTAGGAAATGTGATAAACATTCCAAAGTACACAAGTACTATGACAAGAGTTGGAACTATTTTAGTCACGTATACAGTGACCAGCTGATATTTAAGCTAAAACATAAAGGATGAAAAGGACTTTATCATAAAAGAATATTCTCCAGTGCAAACAAAGTATACGGACCCCAGCCAAGAATGAGTATGGAGAAACAGGCTGACTTGGTTCAACTGAACAAGGCAGAGAACAGCTTGAGATGAGGCTAAAACAGTGAGCACAGCCAGACTCACAAGAGGAAATCTGGATTTACTCTAAGTGCAATGGAAAGCCACTGAAGGGTTTTAGGCTGAGCAGTGCTTTGGCATGATTTTAATTTTTGAGTGACACCTGCTTCTGGGTGGAGCATGGACTGGATGGGGCCAAACATGGAGATAGAGAATCCAGATTGGAAAATGAAAAAATGAAGCACTCCACTTTAAATAAGTTAAAACTGAGATGCTCACATCCTAGTGGGTGTCAAGAGAGCAGCTAGATACAAAGAGAGAGAGAGAGAGAGAGAGAGAGAGAGAGAGAGAAAGAGATTGTGTGTGTATGTGTGTGTGTTGGCCAGGAATGGTGGCCTACACCTGTAATCCCAGCAACTGGGTAGGTTGAGGCAAGACAATTGCAAGTTCAAGGCCAGCCTTAGCAACTTAGCATGGCCCTAAGGACTTAGTGAGACCCTGTCTCAAAATAACACACACAAAAAGGGCTGGGGATATGGCTCAGTGGTTAAGCAACCCTGGGTTCAATCCCCCATCACCAAATAAATAAATAAATAAAAGATCTGGGACCAAGCCATAAATCTGGGAGATGTCCTCATAAGTCACCTATACGGAAAAAAACATCACAGATAACAGTAGAGAGACTGTTTAAGGGAAAGAGGGCTCCACCCTGAGGAGCTCAAAACTTAGGATAGAAGACAAAAAAATAGGCAGAGAAATAGGAAGAAAATCATGGCACCACTATTTCAAGAAGGAAGGAGTGGTCAACCCAACAAATGCTGGTGAGCTGAATAAACTGACACATCTAATATCCTTTGGATTTAGTAGGATGGAGGTCACTACTGATGAAGACAAGAAATTTGTAAGTAACACTGTAGTGGACGCGGAGTAAAAGAAAAGTGCAACACTAGACGACAGCTCTTCAGAGAGGTTTAGACACAATTGTCAAATATGGAAGGAATTAATTACTGATAGGATCGAACAGCATGCTAGCTTGCAACAGGTTTGAACGTCCAAAACAAGAAATCCCTCTCACAGCATGTARCTCAGTGGCAGAAGTGCTTGCCTAGCATGTGTGAGGCCCTCGGTTCGATCCCCAGTACCTCAAAAAAAAAGGGGAAAAGCCCTCCTACATAGCGATCCAGATCCCTCATCACACACATGCACACGATAGCTGAACGAAGACGACGATGCAGTGGAGACCAATGCTGGTCACCAGCCCATCTCACGGCAACGTCAGCTCCAGGCTTCCCCCGTAAGGGATGGTGTCAAGAAGAGCTGGAGCTGGGGCAAAGAAGGGGGCCGAGGACGAGCGGCAGAGCCGGACGGCCGCAGCCTTAGAGGCAGCCGGGCCGCCGCAGGCCCCGCGCGCCGCGCCCGCGCCCACCTMGCCGCCTCACCTCCTCTAGATACTCGCCCAGCTGGGCCGCCACGTCCACCTCCCAGTTCTTGGTGAGGTCGCGGATGGGCTGCAAGAGGTGGGCGAAGCGCGCCTCCACGTCCTCCATGTCCAGGAGGGGCCGGGCGGCCGGGGAGCGSAGGGCTGGCTTCAGAAAGCGCTCTCGGCCTCAGCCCGCCACTGGTTCTGGCGCCATTTTGCTGTTCCCGCCCAGGAAGTACGTAAGCTCAGTGCCTCGCGCGTACCTATGACGTGCACAGGTCCCTGACTTCTGAACCAACCCCAAGTCAAAGGGCCCTGGAAAAGGGGCGGGGCGCTCTGGGAACCATCCGGGGCGGGGCTTGCAGCTGCCGGGAGCCGGACACGAAGCCGAAGCTGACTAGTGGGGCGGGGCGGGGCCGCGGGGCGGGGCTACAAGAATGGGGTTGGGCCTGGGGCGGGGTCTTAGGGGCGGGGTCATGGGATGGGGCGGGGCCTGGGGCGGGGCCTGGGGCGGGGTCGTAGGAACCGCGGGCAGCTCTCCAGCCGGTCGCGTAGCGGACATGGCGGGCTCCCGGCTCCCGCGGCAGCTCTTCCTCCAGGGTGTGGCCGGCGTCTTTATGTTCGCCTTCGCTTCCCTCTACACGCAGATCCCGGGTGAGGGCGCCGTGGATAGGACAACACCCCCCAACCTGTGCGCGGGTCCCCGTGTGGTCACATACCCCGCCACTCCGCATTCGTGCGGTCTGGGGCGAGAGTGAGTCTAGGCCTTGATGTCGCGGTGCGTGACCGCGGTTCGTGTCCCGCGAGCCGCGGGGACGTGGCGGTAGGAAGATGTGCGATGGCTCGTTTCCCGCAGAGTTCGAGTTCTCACCTGGGGTGGGGGTAGAACCCCAGGGAGGGTGGGAAACAGATTTCCTCCCAGACCTGGTGGGGCAGGTAGGAGAGCTGTTGGGCAGAAGATGCTGACCCTGGGAGTCGGGCAGTCCTCCTGGACCCAGGGTGGGTATCAACAGGTTCTGTCCTGGGGCGGGGCGTCTTGAGGGATTGTAGGCCATTTCTACAGGGAGGGGGAAATCTGTAGACCCTGAGGGGTATCTGCAGACCCTACAGTGGGATGGGGGATACCTGCAGACCCTGGCTCAGGTAAATTTGGCAGGGGCCGCAGTGAGTAGCCCCTGAGTAGCCCTGAAACTGCCCTCCCACAGGCCTCTATGGCCCTGAGGGCATTCTGCCTGCTCGGAGGATGCTTCGGCCACAGGGCAAGGGACACTGGCAGCAACTGTGGGAGACACCAACACTGCTGTGGGAGGCACCAAGGCTGGGGCTGGACACAGCCCAGGGCCTAGAACTGCTGAGCCTGTTAGGCACAGTGCTGGCCCTGGGTGCCCTGCTTCTGCGTCCACTGCGCCACCCCCTCGTCTATCTGCTGCTCTGGGCTGCTTACCTGTCAGCCTGCCAGGCAAGTAGGACCCTGATCTCTTCATCCCCTTCCCACTCCCCCCTCTACCTACTGGAGGACAGACACATCTACCCCCTGACAGCCCTCTCCCTGCAGGTGGGCCAGGTGTTCTTCTATTTCCAGTGGTGAGTGACTCTGGGGCAGGGCTGCTGGAGGCTGGGTCGGAGTTGATTGCCTTTCCCCCAAGACCCTTGAGGGGAGGGACCCTTGGTGCCATTTCCTCTCCCTGTAGGGATTCCCTGCTGCTGGAAACAGGCTTCCTGGCTGTGCTGGTGGCCCCGCTGAGGCAGTTCCCCAACCGTAAGCAGGCCCAGGGTGGGCCGACAGGGGCCTTGCCCCATGAAAGCCTTCCCTTCTGGCTCGTGCGCTGGCTGCTGTTTCGCCTCATGTTTGCCTCGGGTGTGGTCAAGCTGACCAGCCGCTGCCCCACGTGGTGGGGACTTACTGGTGAGGGTCCCGGCCTGAACCTGGGGTGGTCTGGGGTTCTTTCTAGCCCTGACCACCTGCTTGTCCTCTGTAGCCCTCACCTACCACTATGAGACACAGTGCCTGCCCACACCTGCTGCCTGGCTTGCCCACCACCTGCCCGTCTGGCTGCACAAGCTCAGCGTGGTAGCCACGTTCCTCATTGAGATCGCCGTGCCCCCTCTGTTCTTCGCTCCCATTCGCCGYCTGCGCTTGGCCGCCTTCTACGCTCAGGTGGGTAAGAGACAAAGCATGGCTTTCTTTAGTACTGATCAGGGGTCCCTCTTGGGATAGGGCAGTGCTGGGAGACAGGCAGCCTGGCAGCTGGTCTGGAGATTTCGGGTAGGGGGCCGCTGTGAGTGCAGACCCTTCTTAGGTGCTGTTACAAGTCCTCATCATCATCACTGGCAACTACAACTTCTTTAACCTGCTGACCCTGGTGCTCACCACTGCCCTCCTGGATGACCAGCACCTGACTGCTGAGCCTGGTCTTGGCCGCTGTAAGAAGACACCCAYCTGTGAGTGTCAGCCTGTTCAGAAGCCCACCATCCTCACCCACACTGTCCTCCCAGAGTGTGTCTTTCCCTCCAGCATCCCATGCAGTGCCCCTGCTTTAGCTCCACCCTAGTCCCCTGCTAGAGACACTAGCCAACCTGTAACTGTCCTGCCCACAGCCTGGCCCAAGGCCCTGCTTACCACTCTATCCCTGCTGCTGGAACTGGCTGTCTATGGACTGCTGGCCTATGGCACTGTGCACTACTTTGGCCTAGAGGTTGACTGGCAGGAGCACGCCATCCACTCCAGAACCAGTGAGTGCTGGATGGGGGGGCCAGGGGCAGGGCGTGGGCCAACCTTCCTCACACTCGCCTTCTTTGGTAGCTTTCACCTTCCACCAGTTCTCCCAGTGGCTGAAGACAGTGACCCTGCCCACTGTGTGGCTGGGGGTGGCCTCCCTGGCCTGGGAGCTGCTGACTGCCCTCTGGAGGTAGGTTCTTGAGTGTAGGGGAGTCGGGGAGCTTCCTGGACGGGCCTGAATACACTTGGGCTCCCTGTCCTCAGGTGGACCCAGGTGCGGGGGTGGCTGCCGAAGCTCCGTGCTGCTATCCAGCTTTCCATCTTGGGTGCTGCCACAGTGRCCTTGTTCTTGATCAGCCTGGTGAGTAGCATTATGGGGGAGTGGGGTTGGAGGGATCTGGGGGTAGCCCTGAGCATTTTGCCCACCTTTCTGCAGGTGCCCTACTCCTACGTGGAACCTGACACCCATGGGCGCCTCTGGACTGGAGCTCACCGCCTCTCTGGTGCTGTGGGACACCTGCAGCTCGCCAACTCATATGGCCTTTTCCGCCGGATGACTGGCCTGGGTGGGCGCCCTGAGGTGGTGCTGGAGGGCAGTTACAATGGACACCACTGGACGGTGAGCTTCCCACAGGTTGGGGGAATTAGGGGCCCAGTCTCACTGGCTCAGCTGACCATGGGCTCACCTGGCAGGAGATCGAGTTCATGTACAAGCCTGGGAATGTGAGCCGGCCGCCCCCTGTTGTGGTGCCCCACCAGCCACGCCTGGATTGGCAAATGTGGTTCGCAGCCCTGGGCCCACACACACACAGCCCCTGGTTCACCAGCCTGGTTCTCCGCCTGCTGCAGGGCAAGGAGCCAGGTGAGGGGGCAGGCTAGGGGAGCCACTGGAGGGGGTGCTGGCCCTCGTGCTGAGCACCTTCTCCCACCACAGTGATCCACCTGATCCAGAACAACATCACCAGGTACCCCTTTCACAAGCAGCCACCCACCTACATCCGAGCCCAGCGGTACAAGTACTGGTTCTCACAGCCTGGAGAGCAGAGGTGAGGCTGTGGTCCAGGGCGGGAGCCRGACCTGGGCTCCGGCCGTGTGCTGAAGATGCTCCTGTTGCAGCAGGTGGTGGCGTCGGCAGTGGGTGGAGGAGTTCTTCCCACCTGTGTCCCTGGGGGATCCAGCGCTGGAGACACTGCTCAGGCAGTTTGGGCTTCAGGTAGGAGGGTGTCCACCAGGCTGAGGGAGGTGGCAGAGGTAACCTCAATTCTCGAGGTCTTCCTCAATTCTTTTCCCACAGGACAAGAGCCCACCCCGGGCCCGCAACCCCAGCAGCGCCCTGGTTCAGGCCCTCCAGTGGGTGCGGACCCAGCTGTCTCCCATAGAGCCTCCCACCCTGCTCTGGGGGCTCCTAGGGGCCGTGGGGGCTGTCAGAGTCATGCAGGCCCTGCTAGTATCCCGGTCACTCAGATCCTCCCCCCCAGACAGAGGGGAGAAGCCCAAGCCAGCCCTCAAGAAGAACTCTGGAACTGCCTCTGAACAGGCCAGCCGAGCCACCAACAACTTCAGCAGCAGTTCCCGGCCTGCCCGGCAGAAAAAGTAGCTTCGTGTTCTCTCATCCACATATCCTCAGAGGGTTGGGTCCCTGCGGAGTTGTGACCTGCGGGACACGGCCCAGCCACCGTGCCTTAGCTGATCCTCCCAGGGCAGACACAGGCTGGGGTGCTGCCCACTGAGGTTGCTACCTTGAGAGCCACAGGTCCTCCAAGGCTACCACCTTCCTCCCCAGTCACTCCCCCACCCCTGTTGCCTGGGCTGTCGGCTTGGGAGGTGGACATGTAGCCCAGTGCTGGATCCTTCCTGGGACACTGAAGTCAGTGCGTGGAGGCCCTGCTCCTTCCCGGGGCCAGAGGGTCTGAGTCTGGAGCCCCTGACCCCAGTGCCCATATGGAGGGATAAGGTGCACTCATTAAGGAGGAGAGCAGGGAGAGCAGCTGCCTGTGGTATCACCACACCAGCTGCCATCCTTCGATGCTCCCACCAATAAAGGTGTCCTTCATGCTTGCTGTGTGCCCAGTGTCCTTCCTGCTGGGGATCCCTGAGGACAGTGGGCAAGACCCCAGTGTCTACCACTAACCTCCCCAATTCTCCTCAATGTTCTCCTTCATAAAACAGACACAGGGGCCTGACCACAAGGGATCTCACAGCCTCTGTGACCTGTGGGACAAAGCCCAGCCACTGTGCCTTGGACTGTGGAGCTGTTCTGGATTGTAGAGCCTGAACCCAAGTCCTTCCTCCCTCCTGCTCTGCTTTCTGGTCTTGAGAAAGGACAAGGGTTCGAGTAGGCAGAGGGAGGTGGTGAGGTGGGCAGAAGCYGAGGGTTTGGGGTAAGGAGCAAAGGTGTACCCAGTCCCCTCCTGGAGGAGGACACCAGGAGGTGGGAATCGGCACCCCAGGTTTCTRCTGGGGGTCACCTTTCAGTCACAAGACATGTAACCCTTCCTGGGAAC